GGCCGCCGCGCTCACCACCCGCACGAAGGGCGGCTTCCCAGCAACGCTGCGCTTCTGCTGCTGCTGCTGCTGCTCGAGCGCGGCGGTCGCCGCCCTGGCACTACTCCGTGCCGCCTCATCCTCCTGCATCTGCCGATGCGCCTCCTCGTGGTTCGCCTCGTGCAGCTGCGCGAGTTTCTCGTACATGGCGGCCTCAATCGTCTTGAGGTCGTTCCTCCCACAGTTCACCGTGTGCCGCGCGTGGCGCACCGCGTACAGGTCGCAGTCATCGCGCGGGAAGCCCTCCTCGTCCACGAGGCTGCCGTCAAGGCCAACAGGTGTGGTGGCGAGGAACGCTATGGCCTCCTCGGTCTTCTTCATAACGGCGTCACGCTGCGTGTCCAACTGCAGCAGCTCCTCCCGCAGCGCGGATGGCGTGTCGCTCGACATGGCGCCCACACAACACAGAGACACACGCACAGACCAACAGGCAGCTGTATGGATCTATTAAATACTGCCGTCAACGCAGTGACGCAGGGAAGAGCAAATCACAAATAGGAGGAGACAAACGACACGTTGGCGAAGGACGGACCGCAGAGCAGCGAACGCCACTCCTTGGGAGGGCGAGGAGTGGCCGGGGAAGCAGGCACCACGGCAGTCGCAACACGCCACACGCACCAGCAGCAAACACGAAACACAACGAACAACCAAAAAAAAGGGAAACGTGACACGCCCCCCGCTGGAGCTCTTCTTCTTCCACACACCCTCCTCGCCCACCTTCCCTTCCATATTGTTACTTGAGGGGGGGAGGTCGTTCTTTCCTTTATCCCCTTTTTTTTCGTTTGGTTTGCGCTGGAGGAGGGGCGGCAGCTCTTCTCTACAGGCGGTAGATACTTTTCAGGACGGAGCCGTACTTCAGCTGCAGCTCCTTCGACTTCACCGCCTCTGCGTCTGTCAGCTCGCGAAAGAACGGCATCTGCTTGTGGTAGTGCAGCATCCCCTTGAGTGTGTGCGTGACGTGCATGGTGTGCGCCAGCCGCCCGCTCTCGTGGCATGCTGCCGATCGCTGCTCCGGCGGCACGAGCAGCGCCTCCGTATCGGGCACCGGCTTTGCGAACGGCCCCGTGCGCTCGCCGTCGAAGCTCAACTCATCGAAGCTGATGTCGTGCGTGGAGAGCAGCGGCAGCGGCAGCAGCGTTCCGTCATGAAAGAAGAGCTGAGTTCCGCTCATATCCAACGCCTCCATAGACGTAGGGGAGTTACTAGCGGGAACCTTTGGCGCAGCAGACGGCTTGCCGCTCATGCCGCTGTCGTTACTGCCCGCGCCGTCGTCGTCGCTCTCGGTTGATGTGCGCTCCACAAACGTTGCGCTTGAGTTTGTGTCGCCGTGCAGCCGCTGCGGCCCCATCGTCTCCTTCTTGGCGAGCACCTCTTCGATGATCGCCTTCATCTGCTCCTTGCTGCCCATGTTCTCCGGCAGCACGAAGGGGTCGTTGAGCATCGTCGACGCGGTGGGGCGCAGGTTGTGGTCCTTCGTCAGCAGCCGCTTGAGGAAGAGCGTCATCTGCGGCGACCAGCGCTCCTTATCGTGCAGCGTCGGCGGGTCGAGCTTCGGAATCATGAAGAGCGCGCGGGCAGGGTGCGTATCGAGGTACGGCGGCGCCCCCTCCGCCATCTCGATGAGTGTGATGCCGAGGCTCCACAGGTCCGCCTTCTCGTCGTAGTCGAGCTCGAGTATCGCCTCGGGCGACATCCACAGCAGCGTGCCGACGAAGGTGTTGCGCCGTGAGAGGGAGTGCGACAGCTCCGTGCTGACGCCGAAGTCTGCCAGCTTCACATCGCCCTCACGCGTGAGCAGAATGTTGCCGCCCTTGATGTCGCGGTGGATCTTGCGGTTGGCGTGCAGGTACTGCAGGCCCAGCAGCACCTGGCGGCAGACGTACGCGATGAGGTGCTCCGGCAGCGGGTGGCGCAGGACCTTGTACACCATGTCCACCGACCCGCCCTCGCAGTACTCCATCACGATCCACAGCTTGCTCAGCGACTTGTGGGCGCCGTGGTAGCGCACAATGTTCGGGTGGAGGCATTTCTTCAGGATGCTGATCTCCTTTTGCACAAAGTCCCGCTCATCCTTGTCCACGAGGAGGACGAGCTTGATCGCCACGATGGCCTGCGTCTGGCGGTTGCGTGCCTTGACAACAGAGCCGTAATTGCCGACGCCGATGGGGCCCAACTCCTCGTACAGCTCCTCCGGCTCCGTGTCGGAGATGAAGAGGTCCTCGAACTCGTCGTCGTTCATCTCCGCGCACCCCCACACTCACAGACAGACGCTCACGCCGCTCTTCTGCGGCTGGGAGTTGTGGTGGGTGCGGGTGTGTGTGAGCTATAAACCTATGCGCAACGAGAAGATCAACAGCCACGACGGAGATAGCAGAAGGGGCAGTGCGGCTGCCGCACAGGCGCGTCTCGGCGCTGTCATGCCAGTCAGCACATCCTTCGCACACACACACACACAGAGAGATATGCACCACGACATGTGAGGAGGGTGCGGCGATTAGAATCATTTAAGAGGAACCGTACCTCCTTAGACGAAGAAAAACACCAACACAGAGACACTACATATATATATATATATATGTGTGTGTGTATGTATATCTACGCGGTGAGAGAGGGCTGTGGATCAAGTGGTGCGTGTGCGCTTCAGTGGCGCCTCCTCGCCGGCACAATGCTGGCACCAAAACACGTCTGGAAGCGTAAAGCTCACGCAGACCATGCGCTTCACGGGCGCCACGTCTCGCACCATATGCACCGTCTCCAGGTTCTCCTTGCACAGCTCAAACGACAGCCAGTGCTCCACCTGCTTGACCGCGTCACCGAGAAAGTCATCTGCGTCCTTGGAGAAGCAGTAGACGTGGAAGAGCACACACCTGTCCGGCTGCGCCGCTGACGATGATGACGATGCGGGCGCCGGCGGGGTCCAAGGCGGCCTCGCAAAGACATCCAAAAACTCCACGGCGGTTGCCGGTAAATTCATCGTAACGTGGCGCCTGCCGCACACAGGGGCGCCCGAGAACACATCGCGGTGGAGAATTGTATTCATGAACTCGCGGCCATCCATGTTGTAGACGTGAAAGGTGTCCGCCGCTATGTGGTTCAGCTCCGCGTTGACGCGCAGGTACTCTGCGGCAGCAGGGTTCAGATCATTGGCGTGCACGGTGACGCCAGCAGCAGCAGCCGGAATAGCGAAGGGACCGACACCCGCCATCACGTCGTAGAGCGTGTCGCCCTTCCGCATCATGTCCACCACGCGTGTGTGCTCGTGGCTAAGCCGCGAGTTCCAATACACGCGGTCGTACGGCACCCGGAAGATGCAGCCGTGCTGCCGCACGGTCGCCAGCAGGAGGCGGTGCGTCTCCGCCTCGCTGTCCTCCTCCCCAGCCTTCTGTTCCTGCTGCTGCTGCTGCTGCGTATGGCCCTTCTTGGGGTCGGCACGGCGCCGGGCGATGATCTCCATCTTGAACTCGCGATACACGCTCGAGATGCTGTCCACCTTGTTCACCACAACATCCACGGTGGGATTGCAGTCCAGAATGACAGCACCGATCGCAGCCTGGTGTGGCACGTGCGCAGCGGAGAGATTCACGTGCGCAATGTGGCCAACCTGCTCAAACCCACTCAGTGGAATTGTGTCGGGTGGAAGTATGCGCTGCAGCAGCTCCGGCATTGTGTAGTTCATGTAGTTCAACTGCAGTGTGTGGGGAGCAAGCGCCACACGAAGAGACCGCGCAATGGACTCGTCAGACAGCAACGGCTGCAGCCGCTCACGCAGAGCAGACGGCAGCGACGCATCGCTCGCCTGCAGCCACGCATCACATGGCGACGCCGTCACCGCCGTCGGGGGCACGAACTGCGGGTCCAGCAGTAGCCGCTTGCACGCCTG